TTATAGTTCTGATGTCGATATATTACAGGTTTAACTTAATAGCGTCACTTGAATAGTGAAGATGTTACATTTTATTCATCTTTTTATAGTAATGGTCTTTTCCCATATCTGTATTTTCTAAACTGTGTGCTTTGAGCAAGGTTAGTAAACGTAATAGCAAATAAAGAAAACAAACATTTTGGTTACATTATTTTTTAAATTATTTGTTTAAAGATATGCTATCATTGTGAGGCATCTCAGAGAATTTAAATTTTTACTGTGCACTAGGGAAGGTCAGACTGTAGCACCTAGATTGTATATAACGTATTTGACCAACCCCCTACTCTTTTTGCTTACCTACATACATTAGCATTTCTTGAGACTGAACTGAAAAATATAAATAAATTAACAAACAAATAAATAAATAAAATAACAACAAAAAAATCCTGATCATAAGACATACACACAACGTGGTGTGATCAGACCTCTTGGTTCATAAGGATAAAATCAACATATGTGATTACTTTTTAACAAATGTTGGATTATGATGGTCAGTAATGATATGTTTAAAGAAAATGATCTAAGAATATGTGCCCCCTTGATTTGAAAAATGTAGACCAATGTGGCAGTGGGGAGAAATAATTGGGATGAGACCAGAGGTCCAGGGCAGAGAGTTTCAGTTAATCCACCAGTGAAGAACAGAAGAGGTAGATTTATTGAAATTCCTAGCAGAGGAGCAGGGGTCAGACTGGAGGAAAATGTCTCCATGGGCAGGAGGGCTTGAGGCTCTCTTTTGTCTTTCTTGGGGGGTTTTTCTTCCTTGGGTGCCAGTTTGGGCCATTTATTTTCTGAGATGTCTGACCTTGGGCATTGACCCAAATGTGTGCTGATCCTCCTATATTCATCCCAGCCTCCCGAACTTGTCTGCTGGCAGAGTGGGGTCTTATTGTTTAAATAAGACCTTATTAAATGATAACCCAATACATTTAGTTACATACCATGTAGAATCATTTAATTAACTCTAACAACACAGCTAGTGAGTGTAAGTAGATTTTTCCCTTTCATAATTCCATAAATGGCCTTGCATATATTTCTAGATGTATATATTAAAGAGGAAAACATGATTTATGTTTATTAATAAAGGCATTAAACTTTTATCATACTGTTGTGCTTGATTCCTGAAATGATAAAAGGTAATTACTTCAGGTAGTGTAACAATAGCTGTGAGATTCATCTTCAAAATATAATTCAGCTACATATTGTTTTTATTTTTTTAATGTGCGGGGAAATAAAATTGTCTCTGAAGAATATACTGCTTTACATTTTGAAATTGATTTTATAGACACAGTGATCAGAACATCATTCAATTCAAACAAAGATTTAAATCTAGGGACTAGACCACATTTGCATGAAGTACTTTCTACTCAGATTTGTATTGAATGTGTATTGAATGTCATTGCTTCCGCAGTGTTACTAAAAGACAAGCTAATAGGCTGTTCAATAATTTTATGTAAAAAATCAGATCATATTTGCAGAGAGAATCTTTAACATATAGTTCTTTGTTATTCCACATTATTAAGAGGGCTGAAACAGTCCCATTTATGCACTGAACAGATGCAACAGGTATAAGAGACAACTATCGCTAAGTCTGTTTTTAATTTTTCTTTGTTGGCTGAAAGGGAAATGCCCCCAATGTTCTCTGAGACTGTTGTTATATAAGCATTGTGCTGGCATTTTAAAGTAGTTTCAAATGATCCTGGCAAGGAGGTAAAAAAATATGTTGAAGGGCTGTTATCTTAGTTCTCAGGAAGTAGGGATGAGATGGGGGGTGAAGAAGATGTGGAAGTTTAGCTGGAGGAGAGGAATGGCTGAGAGAAGAATCGGTACCAGCCCTATCATGCTACTATCCAGTTACTATCCAGTACTAGGTCCAAGGCAAGGAAAGGAGACTGTAATTGTTTGTTATTAATATTTGTATTAAGAGGATGAATAAAACTTAGGAATGAGCTTTGACTGTATATTAATACTTGAGAAGATTATAGAATGTACTGAAATAATTCAACTCACAAATGGATAAGAACATAATGGTCTATCCATAGACTAAGAATCAGTTTAATAGTAAAAAGAATCAGCTACTACTACATGTAATGGGATGGGTTCACCTCAATAGCACTATACTGAATGAAAAAGGCCAGGCACAAAAGTTTTTACATTGTGATTACTTTTATAAGAACTTTGAGAAATGGCCAAAATAAAGTAGTGTAGATAGACCAGTGGTTTCAGGGACTGGGAGAAGAAGGCAGGGATTGAATTAACTATTTAGAGGTAAGAGAAAATATTTCCAAGTAGTTACTTGGAAATTATGTGATATTATGTGGTAATTTTTGTGACTATTTTTCATATCTCATCAAGTTGTATGCTTAATGTCAGTGATTCTATTTATATAATTATACCTAAATAAAACTAGTTAAAAATAAAGTATGGCAGAATTCATTAATACTTGGAAGTGAACAGAAAATCATGAAACAGATGAGTTTCATCCAAAATCTGGATTAATATCAAATAATATAATTTAATAGAATTAATAATGATGATATCTGAGCTCTTCTTAATCAATATAGCTGTTCAATGAATATTACATAAAACACTTAGCCTAATTCTTAGCACAAAGATGACATTTAATAAATAGTGAGTACTTTTATTTGTGTTATCATTATTGTTATTGAATTTTACATTATGAACGTAAAGGAATTCACAGGAATTGTAAATATAGACAGAAATGTTCTCCTACACAGTGAATGGAGTGTATTTGTTAACCAGTTTTCACGATTTAAAGTACAAATAGGGAATTGGAATTTTTCAATGACTTGTTTAGGGTAATTAAGGCATTATGATATAGCACAGAAGCTGAATATCAGAGCATCATTTCACAGACACATTGGTAGCTTTTCTGTGTGTTGAATCATTTTTGAATTCTCATAAATTCTTTCTGATGAGAGTTAAGAGTTCTGAAGTTTGGAGACATTCAATAGAAGTCATAGCTATCAATGTAACATTGAAATCACTTTGAAATGTCTCTGGTCACATGAGAAATGGTGATTGGATCAACAAAGATTATAGGCACGTGGAACTAGTGCTAACTTTATCTTCACCCATGCTACAATAGAAAAAAAAAAAAAAAGTAGGGCCCTGCCTGGTGGCACAACAGGTTAAAGCACAGCACTGTGAAGCTATTGCAGCCACTGCAGCAGGAGTTGAATCCCCAGCTAGGGGTGTGACCCACATGGCATGGCAGAACTCTCCTGACCTGCCTGTTGTTTCCCTCAGCGGTGTGTTTCAGTTTGGCTGTCTGTTCTGCTCCTCACTCTGTCTCTGGTGGATACTCTTAGACCCTGGCCTTGCAACTCTGGTCTGTATCCCGGTTCTGTATGTATAAATAAATACATCTTTTTTAAAAAAATAGTCCTCCACTCTAGTCCTCCCTTTGCTGTCCACCCCCCCCACCCCCGCTTCCTCTGCTAGCCTCAGTTCTACATGTTTGCCATCACAACTTTAAATAGTAGATACTCATTTGTATAGGTTGCACACATATTAAGAAGCAAGTTAAAATTTGTATCCAATTCTGAATTATAAGAATCATTGATGTGGAGTGTAGGGCAGATCTTGAGGAGGAAACATTGTTTTATCAGAGTTAGATTTCTGACATTGTGTTCTGATGTGACTTCTCCTTTCCTGTCCTGGAAATGCAATGGAGTGAAATAATGGACATCTGGCCCCAACTCTCTGAACCTCAAATTTTAAGCCCATAGGACAGAAGTACTGATTAGGTGGTCACTATACTTTTGAAAGAATTAGTAGCTCTATATATTTGAAATCTTCAACATCAGGGTCATCTTCTTTGAACTTTTATTGATTTACCACTAGATTACATAGCAGTATATTGTTGGAAGAACAGCTTCAAAATGTCCTCACTTACCTGCCACCAAAGGTCTAGTGCCACAACCCAGCTACCTTCCCTCCCGGGTGTCCTTGTTCCTCCCCCCACCCTCTACTAATCAGTATATTCTTCAGAAAGGCCAAGAAACACTCTTCTTGTTTTGCTGATTCTTTGGTTAACTCTATTCCACAAATGAATGAGACCGTCTGATGACTGTCTTTTATTTTCTGATTTATGTCACTCAACATCATCACCTCAAGAACCATCTATTTATCTCCAAAAGACACAATTTCATCTTTTTTAATAGCTGAATAGTGATTTGTGTACTATTTTTTATAAAGTTATTGATTGATTGATGCATACAGAGTTGGGGTACAGCCAGAGGTGCAGAGGTGGTGACAGACTTCATCAGAGACAGAGTGCGGAGCAGAACAGGCAGATCAATGAAGTACACTGCTGAGGGGAGCAGCGGGTGGGTCAGGAGAGGTCTGCTGCACCATGTGGGTCACCTGCAGAGCCAGGGGTCAAACTCACACTGACTTGGCTGTGGCTAGCTTGCAGTGCTACGTCCCAACCCATTGTGCCACCAGGGAGAGCTTTGTATTCTGTGTATTTAAGTTCAAATGACGTCAAATATAGCATGAGGTTAATGTCAGATAGTGGTGAAGTTTATTTTCATAGCTCCTTCACTGACGAAGCCTATTTTGAAGTCCATTTTGAGGCAGTTGTATAGAGACACTACTGGTGAGATGGCTGGCATTAGCAATAACTTGAGTTTTGATAAACCTTTAATTATATTTTAGGATTATCAATCCAAGACAATTGTTGAGCCTAAATGAGAAAAGCGGTTAGTATGCAGACTCTAATGGGTACATTTATCATTTCCTTATCATACTGAGCTTCGGGCGTATTGTAGTCTATTTTCCAAGAAAGTAGAAATGCAGTTTCTTAGAATAAAAATGTTCTTTATAACGTGAGCAGTAGATTGAAGCTGTACAGATTGGTTCTTTAATGAAATAGGCAACATTCCAATGGAACTGACAAGCTTTATTTCTATTTGTTGTATTTTTTTTTCTCATTACAGATGGACCCGATTCAGAAAGCTGTAATAAATCATACATTCGGGGTGCCTCTTCCTCATCGAAGAAAGCAAATCATATCATGCAACATTTGCCAGTTGAGATTTAATTCCGATGTAAGTTTATCATTTAATATTCACTAAAAAAATGTATTATGCTGTTCTAATCTTGCAGAAGAGGTTTCTTAAACATTTTTCTCCCACAGCTCAGTATGTCAGAATTCAAAGATAGCATTTTAACTCCTTATAATCTTTCATTTGGGATGGGAGCTTATTATACTATATTCAGGCATTTACTATAAGAAAGCCACACACCTACCATCATATACCTGCTGTTTAATGGTGATTTTGGTCTCTTGGGAATGCTAAATTTAGATAATGAAGTTTGGGGAACAGTCAAATTCAGAACCAATGAGGCTTAACACCTCTGCAGTAAGATATTTCCTAAATCATATTTCAAGGCCAGAATTTGGGCTTTGTAAATTCTCTTTGCCTGCAGTGGTGAGCCTTAATTCCAGATCAGTCCTGTGTCCTTAATGATATTTGTGTTAAAGCACCCCACTTACTGTCCTAGAAGTATTAGCATTTTAACAGGGAGTTCTAAAGACCTCAAAGCCTTTTATTCCCTAATGAATAAAACTTAAGTGGAGAACACGATAGAAGGGAGACATCTGTGGACCTGAGCGGTGCTTTGCAAGCTATTCACAGAGTAATTCACATCTTTCATACATTTTCTAAGGATCAGGGTGAACTGCAGATTCGTCACATCACAACTGATTTTGGCTTGTGGCCCATCGGAATAATATTGCCTAGCCACAAACACACCTGTTTCGGTGTGGAGTTGGTCCTGAGAGACAGAACAGAGAGTGAATGCTGGTTTGGGAGAACCAGAAATTAGATACATTGCTGATAACTCCAGGCAAGTAGAAGACTGATTTGATCAAAATAGTCCCTTAGGATACCATTCTCTGGCCCTAAGTCATGTGCCCTTTGGAGATAACCAAACTGATCTGAATTCTGGAGACTGTTAAAACATCCATTATTTAATCTCCCCAGACAAGTAGGTCTCTTAAGTTCCCTGGTAATTTTGATAGCATATGAGAAAATCAGGAACAGAAAATGGATGGAAAATAAATAAAGTGGCTTTTTCCTTCTGTGACAACTTTCCATTCTGTAAAAGTACTGTTTTCATCTTAGAACTCATACCTAGTTTTACAGTCATCAGGTAATTATATCACATTCCTTCATGAGATTTATAAAGGAGAACCGTAGACTCAACATAGCAACCATTAGCTGCTATTAAAAAAAAAAGTCACTAGCAGCATTTTTCTACTTAAAGAGATTTTGTTTTATCATACTGAGTACCTTACCTTTACTTGAATTTCAAGAAAAAAATCAGTTTAATTTGTTAACAAAAATGGTTTCAAGTGATGAATGTTATATAATAATCTCTCACAGCTTTTGTAAAAATAGGAGGCATCTTTCCCACTATGTAAATAAGAGCTTTCAATTCAGTAGTTGCTAGTTGGCTCATTTCAAAACTCTCAGGAACAATTAGGCATCATCATAATTGTTCTTTTGAGTGGTTCTTGGTTACTTTTTGTCTCAAATCTTCCTTCTTGTACTTTGGAACCCACCAGGTAATGATGCAAAAGTCTCCCAGGAGCCATCTTGCCAGTTCATACATTAGAGGGGAACTGCTTCAAAGATCCCCCACCCCTTTGCCAACAGTTTCAGTGTCAATATTTCTATGTGATTAAGAAAACACCCTATAAACTGTGAGTCAAAACAAGACTTCAAACTAGAACCCAATCTCCCTAGAAATGCAAAAGAAAAAAAAGCCACGACCTGCCTGGCTAGGTTTTCGGTTGATTATTTTAAAATTTGATTCTTTTTTAAAGATTCTCTGGCCACCTCAAGGCAATTGCTTCTTCTATGTGTGCACTTCTAGTAATGTAGCTGGATATCAAAGACTAATGAAGATTTTAACCTGTTGTCATTATGCTTTAGGGACTATTTAATGTTTACATATATAATGATTAACATTGACAGAAAGAACATAATATAACATTTTGCAAAGAACATTTACATACGTCTTTCCTGAAAGGTGATCTTACTTATTTTCTTGGTGAGAGGGTAGCAATTTGTTTTGCTAATAAGCAATTTATTTTGCCGAGTTTCAAAGTGATAGAAGAATCCATACATCAATACATATCATTAACGGCTGTTGCTTCTTGTCACATCTTTACCTACAGGTTAGTCTGACATGTGATGAAAGAAAAATGCCAGTTATTTGGGAGATTTAGACTAATCAGTCTGGGTCATAATTAAACAATGGTAGGCTTGACCATGCACTAGATGATTACTGTATTAATCAATTGCTGCTGTAAAATAGGGCAAAAAGTGGCTTAAAACAACAGAAACATAGTTCTGGAGGTGAGAAGTGTAAACTGGATGTCAATAGAATGAAATCAAGGTGTGGGTTATGTTCCTTCTGGAAGTTTTTAAGAATTTGGTTCCTTGCTTTTCTTTCTAGCTTCTAAGCTTGCCTAGTTTATTGGTTCCTGACCCTTCCATCTTCAAAGCTAGCAATAACTGGTTGAGTCCTTCTCTGGAATCACTCTGAATCTCCCTGAGCGGCCCCACTCTTCCACATGTAAGGATAATTGTGATCATGATGCAGTGGCTTTGATAATCCAAGATAATGGCTGTATTTTAAGCTCAGCTGATTAGCAGCCTAATTTTATCTGCTAATGTAATCCCCATTGTCATGTAACGTAACATAGGCATCATCCCAGGGATTAGGATCTAAGCATCATTCTACCTACCACAGACACTCATGAAGATGTTTGATTTAGGTTTGAGTTGAACTTCAGGGCCATCTAAATTTATCAGATAATTACCCAGGGTGGCTGCCTTGGACTCTGTAAACTGGCACGTGTGAATTCACCACCCTTCCATTTTTTCTTATTTAAGTCTTGAATATAATACCATTATGCAATGCTAATTTTAAAAGTTACAATTTCTTAGATAGGAGGATTTACAATATTACTGAATGTAAAATGACAGCATCATTTTAATTATAATTTACTAACAAATCAACCATAGTTCAGTTTATGTATCAGATGAGCAATATCTCTGTAGCAATATTATATCAATAAAAATAACTAACATGCTAGAATTATTAGCTATATTTACTTATGGATTGGTCATGTTCACAAATACTAATTTTATGAACTGTTTAGTACTGAATTCAAGATAAACTGTAAGAAAATAACCCCTAAAGAAAAATTACGGCTCAAACATAATATATGTATATATAATACTGGATCATTTTAATCCCAAGAAAAGTCTTTATAATCTTAATACAACTTCCTCTTTGTTCTTTACAGGGAAGTCTGGAATTCATTTTCCTATTTCTATTCTTAAACCTAGAATCTTTTTGGAAAAGTAACATTGTAATTCATTTGTATGCTTGGTTGAATTTTCTACCACAGAAAATATTTTGCCTTATGAACTTTTTTACATTTCAAAGCTTTTCCCCTTCCAATGAAAATAATAGCTTATAGTTCTTTTTATCTCTGTATCATGAAAATTCAATTTCCTTTCCCTCTCTAAGCTTTTATTTATTATTTTAACTCTTCACATAATAAACTCTGTAGTTTGGTGTTATGCCATACCTGTTTCCTATATGGTATATTTTCTATTTTTAGGACCTATTATAGCATGTTACATTAGGTGCACTTTAAATCAGATTCCCTTCTCCTAGTGTTGGAGGAAGAAAAAAAAATACTTCAGCAGTTCATAGTTCATATGAAACATACATGAGGTTATCCAAAAAGCTTCCAATTAAAGACTTAAAGGTTCTAATTTGCCCAATTATTTTATCATCATCATACAATAAATATAATTTGCCATTGGCCTGGCAAGTTCAAAAGCATGTCTTTCAAAATTAAGCTGGACCAACTAGAATGTGAGAATACTAAGTGAGATAGAGAATGAATATCTACTGATTGTTTACAGAATGGGAATAAGATTTCATGCCCCCCACCTGAGCAATCTTAAAACTGTAGCACTAAAAGGCATTATGGTTGGGGCCTCCCTGCTAGAGCAGGCAGTCAGTCTCAGTGCTATCACCACTGTGACCTGGTTTCAATCCTGGCCAGGGAGCTGACCCCCATAGGGCACAGCAGACCTCTCCTGTCTCGCCTGCTGCTCCCCTTAGCAGTATACGTCAGTAGATTCACTCTGTCCTTCATAAATCCTCTCACCACACAACTTCTGTCCCACCCCAGTTCTCATATGCATAAATAAGTATTTTTTTAAACTGTGACTTAGAACTGTCATCAATTCATTATCAGGGGGATTGCTTGATAGAGTGGTGGGAACAGAACCCAGAAAAACTACCTGAGCACATTAACATTGCTTCTTGGCCTCAGGACTCTCCAGAGTGACATCCCTAGATCATCATTCATTTAATTGATAAATTTTCAATGTTGTTATAAGGTAGAAATTATTATAATTGCTCTGCATTTCAAAACCAGGTGTGTAGTGAGACTAATCAATATATGTGAATTTATTTCATGTCTCTTGTCATAACTTCCATAACCAGATATCCAGATATGCCAATCTAATGATAAAGATGCTGATAGTAATATTTTTCCTACCAAAAAACCAATTAGATTGTTAAATTTTCTTAACATCATGTATCCAGGCACATCTTTTAAATATTTAATTAAATATTTAAAGATAATTAAATCAATAATTAAATATTTACACCCACGATATTTGTGGGAGCAGATATCTAAAGAAAATGATGTTGAGATGGAAAGAAAAGTAAAAACTAATGGTGGTTGTATTGTATTTGAACAACTGTTTTACTTCAACTTAATTCTCCAATTTTTTTTATAAGCTTAATTACATGATATAGGGGGAAAAAGGAAATCTTAGATCTATTATCTCTGCTATGTTTTTTTTTTTAAAGATTTATTTATTCATACAGAACTGGGGTACAGGCCAGAGATGCGGAGGGTGAGAGGCTTCACCAGAGACAGAGTGGGGAGCAGAACAGGTAGATCGACGAAGTACACTGCTGAGGGGAGCAGCGGGCGGGCAGG